TACGTACGTACGTACGTACGTACGTACTACTCTCTCTCTCTCTCTCTCTCTCTCTCTCTCTCTCTCTCTCTCTCTCTCTCCTCTCTCTCTCTCTCTCTCTCTCTCTCTTCCTCTTCCTACCTTGTGTATTGGGAACTCCGCCTCACCCAACTGTATAACGAGATCACACATGTGACCATCCTTCCACGCCTGATGCATATAACGCAGCGTCTCCTCCGCGTGGTGGCGCGCCGATCGCGTCGGCGACATGTCTCTCGTCGTCTGCTTCTCGGTCGGCGCGCCGGTGGCGCCATTCCGCACAACGGCCACGTTCGCGGACTGGAATATCACCTGATTCTGTTTGATCTTGATCGATTCTCCACTAGGCGACAGCTTGAAACCGCGGTTATCGCCAGGTGGCGCTGGCGTGCTCGTGATCGCCGGAGAGAAAATGGCCGCGTGACTGCTGACGCGTCTATTTTGCGTCTTTGACGACGTCGTCGGCCGTCGGTCATCTGCTTTGTTGTGTTTCCTCTTTCCGTTCTGTAACGTCGCCGAACTTTTCTTTCTCACCGGTATGTTGTCGTTGTTCCCACGAGGTGCCTCTCCTGTGTCCGGCTCACCTCTGTTCATGATTACAGCAACGGGATGCGTGTCACTCTGCGACCTAGGAATAAATGAATGAATAAATAAATAAATAAACAAATAGACATATTTACTATTACAGAAATCATATTTACGCCGTGATAATCATAAAATTATGCAAGCTACTATATAACTCATTGTAATTTCTTTTTTAAGGTTTATTTTGTCCTTTATACAACTATTATTTATAAGTTGATTATTATTTCTTGATATTTATGATATCACGAAGTAATTAGAAGTCTTCTTAATCATTTCTATGCGATCTTGCGTTTACTGGAGGAACGAACCTGAATGTATCAATAACCACGTCTATCGGCAATGCATTCTCCTGATATTCCTTGCTCCCGCCGCTATATTCATCTTCCAAACCTCGAAAAAACTTCAAAAATACGGGCTTTGAGAAAGTGCGTTCCATCACGTACACGCTAAAAAATAAGTGCGGAGCTATGCACTTAACTTCTGTCTACATATTTGCGTTTGTCGTCACTTTCGTTTTCGCTAAACTGCTGTGTTTGCGATGGTATATCTGTTGTTTGGTCGGTGAGTGTAATGCGCCGTTGCTAGGCAGTCGTTGCTGTTAACATTGATTATCCAGAACAATGTCTGCAACGCAGACAAATAGATTGCTGTCTATAATAATATAAATATTATATCGGAACGAAACACATGTAAGAGCTCTAAAACCATTACCTATATTATCTGTTAATGTATTATTTTATAAGAAATTGAAATATCGACTAATGCAAAAAAATGACGCTAGTATATAGCAAAAAGCTTATCGCGTTTATAGTATTTTATTTATTCACGCGAGGGCGCCACCGATGCTCCATGCCCGGCGAAGTTGTCGTCGTTCGAATATATATTCGAAATGTTGTGTAGAAATTCAACAGCGTTTACTAGGTGTCTGCTTAGAAGTTGGACAGAGAATGAGAGAGGATTCTCTCGCTGTTGTGTTCGATGGCAGAACAAGGAAGTTGTCGAGTCTTCAGACAAAGGCCGCGAGCTTCAAAAATCACTTAAACCTAAACGACCTAAACCACCTTTTATCAAAAATCTCTTCCTAGGAAAATTTGACAAGGTGTGTGATCGTGCTACTGCTAGTGAAGTTAGATTCTTTACCATGTTCCTCACACTGTCTTTTGTGTGCAGCTTGGTTTTGAACTAGCTAATTATGTAATCTGCACTGTCAGTGTCACCATAGATATAGAAGAAGTGGATATTGAACTTAGAAGATACTTCTTCTATATGATATCACAGTCTAATAATACATAGTTCCCTGGCCTCTAAACTAAAGTATAAGACTAAGACTCTATAATTGAGGCATTCGTAACTTTACCATTTTCGTTATCAACATAAAAAACCACGAACACATTATTTTCGTGCAGGAGTTGCTGTCGTACCCCGAATTGAAAGACAATGCAGAACTGGAAGAGCTAAATGCTATGGTAGATCCAATAGAAAAGTTCTTCCAGAATCGTAAGTGGTTACGAGCATGAACGACCGATGTCCTTATCTCTCACTCACTGTAAACTTATCTAAACGTTTAGACATGACAGATAAAGCATGAATAATTTGAGATTATGAATAGTGATGCACCGTACAATCTACGTTAAATAAATGTAGTTGATAGATAATTGCGATAGAGCGTACTATCAACACTCGGCCCCAGTGTGATTCCGTCAATGAGGAATGGAATCTGTCTGGGTATTTGTAAACAATTTTTTTACATAAAATATGTGTCTGGTTATATGTTTAGCCATATATCGTGGGTAATGTTGCTACTGATTTATAATCAAGCATGCGTGCACAACATGATTTAATTGTCACCCAGCGTGTTATATGTCTGGACCAGGAATTTCGCCAGGACCACAAGATATTTCAAACAGGTTCTTAAAAATATCTAATAAGATATTGTCGCCAATATTATGTAATATATTCGACAAATGCTTTAAGAATAGTGTATTCCCAAATATCCATAAGATAGCGAAAGTCATACCCATATACAAAAACGACTCAACTAACTTGCCTACCAATTATAGACCAGTCTCACTTTTATCCCCCTTCTCAAAAATATTGGAAAAAATTCATTTATTCTAGATTATTAAAGGCATAATTCGACCATCGATTATGCAAAGTTGACGAATGCTACATTAACTGGCACCTTGTGTAGTTAATAAGTACATTACCTTATAGCCAAACGCGTATTAGTTTGTCCAATATCACTG